AGTCGTGAGTAAATATGTTCTCAATTGTCTTGAGTGAAACCCAGAGGGAAAAGTAAAGAGCTTCTCAAAGGCAGAGACGTTCAGCTCATCTTCAAGCACTAATACCAGCCCAGGACCCAACAAAACCTCAGCACGTCTTGGATCATGCCTGATAAAAGTGATCCCTCGCTCTCCTTCCTTCCAGGAAGGAAGGAAACCAGGGCACTGGCTTGGGGGTTGGAATGAGATGATCTTTAAGGTCCCTTTCAACCCAAACCATTCTGTGATTCTATGAAACCAAAGGCAGAAGGAAGATCTATTTTCAACCAATTTCCTCCTGAGCTGGACACCTCTGGTGACAGGGCAGTGTCAGGACACCCACCATCACCACCCAAGGAAGGACAGGCACCACCTTCTACTCCACCAGGTTGCTCCAAGCCCCGTCCAATCTGGCCCTGGACACTTCCAGGGATGGGGCAGCCACAGCTTTTCTGGGCAACCTGTGCCAGAGCCTTCCCACCCTCACAGGGAAGAATTTCTTCCTAAATCCCTGGGATGAGATGGGAAGAACCACTCCCAGTAGTCAGGAGCTCATTCCAGCCTCTCTGCCTTCAGGCTGCGAGAGCAGCGCTGTCATAGCACAGCTTGAGAGGTGAAAGCAGAGTGAGAGAAAAGAGCCTGGACTTTGGAGGTGCAGGTGCCTGCTGTTCCCACCGGCTCTCAGCTGGGGAGCAATTGCTCCATGCCTCTGGAAATCAGACTCAGTGTAGCAGAGGTTCTCAAAGAAGTAAAGGGTTGGCATCCGAGATGTTTGATACGACGAGAGTAGAGCTTCGGAGAGTAAACAAATTCTGTGCCAAAAGCTGCTCTCATTTACAGCTACAAAAATCCCAAGTCACTCTGAACTGCTGAAAACATCAGCTTCACGAGCAGTCAAGGAAATGGAATCACAGAATCAGGGAATCATGGAATGGTTTGGGTTAGAAGGGACCTTAAAACTCATCTCATTCCACCCTTCCATGTCCTGATGACCCCTAGAATTCCAGCTGTTGGGCAAACCTGGAAATATTGAATCCTCAAGGAGAAGGAATAAATACTGAGGCAGAAAGCAAAGTGTTCAAAGTGCGTAAGGAACATTTGAAGGCGATAAAGGCTGTTGTATCAGAAACCATTCCACCTTTATATTTTTATTTCTAGAAACAGCTCTTAAATGAGGGCTGGGTGGAGATGTGAGGCCAGCACACGGCTGGTCTGGTTTCTGCTCCTGCTCCATGGATATCCAGTTAGATATCCTTCCTACAGCAGCACATGGAGCTGTGTTTGGGGTCCACCTGGTATTTTTGGGGATGTTCTTTCACATCATTTATGGGAAGATGGGTCCAAGCTCTGAGCTGCTCACAAAGGAAGAGGTGAGTGCTGCCATCCTGCCTCACTCACAAGCTTATCTCTGACAGAGTCCACAAGAAGATCCTCCAGGGAGGAGCCCACGCTCCATCCGGTGGGATCACCACACCAGTAACTCACATCATTTCAACACATTACAATTAAGGAATCATTCCTTTAAAAATAGAATTTGCATTAGCTGGATTTGTGCCTAGGAAAGCCACTGCAAACAAACAGAAAACCTGCAGATTAGGATGCTAATTAGATGCATTTCTATTTATAATCTGCCTTGATCAGGCTCAAGTGTTTTCTCTTTCAGGTGTCTGTGCTCCACCCACGGATGTGAGCAATTTCCCTGGCAGGGAAACACCTGCTTGTCCCTGGGGACAGGCAAGTGCTGGGAAAGGCCTGCGCTGGAGGGATGGGGGTTCATCCTGCCCCTTCTCCTTGGGGAGCAGCCTCAGAGGAGGGATGGTTTGTGCCTGGCCAAGGATACCTGCCCAGGGCCTTTCCTACACCACATTTCTCTGTGCTGGAAAACAGCAGAAAGCTTTGCCTCTCCTATCAGAAGCGGTGGAATTCATGGAATTGTTACAGTTGGGAAAGACCTTTAAGATTACTGAGTCCAACCATCAGCCCAGCACCACCACCATGGTCACCACTAACCATGTCCCCATGTGCCACATCCACAAATTTTTAGCACACATCCAGGGATGGTGAATCCACCACTACCCTGGGCAGCCTGTTTCAATGCTTTACACCCTTCCCATGAAGAAATTTTCCCAATATCCAACCTAAACTTCCCCTGGCACAGCTTGAGACCATTTCCTCTTATCCCGTCTGTTATTCCACCCTCCTGTCAGGGAGCTGTAGAGAGTGAGGTCTCCACTGAGCCTCCTTTTCTCGAGGCTGAACATCCCCAGCTCCCTCAGTCACTGCCCGTGCTTTGGTCTTGCTGGGGGTTGGACTTGATGACCTTGAGAGGTCCTTTCCAACCCAAACTATTCTATGATTCTATGGAATCTCAAAGAGCCAGCCTGGGAGTGGCAAGGATTTGCAGCTGGTGGCAGTTGTGGACTGGAGATCTCTGTCTGAAGAGGATGGACAGACACAAAGAGGTGCCTGGAACCAATCTGAGTCACTGGGATCCTTCCCTTGACTGGGAATTCACAGCTGCAACAAGAGCATGTTCCATTTCTGGAGCAAGCTGGGAATTCAGTGCTGAGTGAGATGTTCCCAGCTAAGCCAGGGCTTGGCCTTGGTGCCTGTGTTTGTAATAATACTGGAAAAACAACTTTTTTTTTTTAATCTTTTCCCTGGATCTCCTTTCACTGCAGAACATCCAGAAGGAATAAAGAGACACAAGATCCACCCTGTTCTCCCCCTAAAGCTTCCAACAAAGGTATATAGAAAGTGTTTTGGGCCATAGGATTTATTATGGGATTCTGGGGTGTCTGTGACCTGTGAAAAAGGGTCCAGCAAAAATTCAGTGACAAACCAAGACTTAACAATGTGAAAAACAGCTACGAAGGTTGTGGGGTTTTTTAAATGCAGCTTAAAGAAAGAAACTTAAAAGATATGAGTCATCATTTCGAAATGTGCATCAAACAAGTTAAATAACTCTTACTTTCTTAACAACATATTAATCAAAGTGCATTGATTCTTGAATCAGATTCCACTCCCACCAAGCTCTCTATCTTCCCCATCCTGATGCATGCATTAAGAGAGTTTTATTCTGACAGATACAATATAGCAATCAATAAAATCTTATTATATGGAGCAGAGATACATGGATTTGTTGCAGGATTTATGCACTACTTTCATACCCAGTGCTATTTCATGTCTCAGCTTTAACCTGTAATTGAAAATAAATCTCCCTGAATACACCAGATTCTAATTTTCTGGATGTATGGGCAAATGTGAATGGAAACTGGCCTTCCCTCGGGGAGAAAGCTGCTCTTGGATCCCATCGCTGCCTGGTGCACTCCGCTGGACTGACAGATTCCTATGGGGAAAACACCCTGTGCAGGCAGGAAAACATGTGGGAAAACAGACAGTGCCTGGGCACACCACTTCCAAACCCTCTGTCCCCTTCCTCAAGACTCCAGAGCCACTTGCTGCCTCCTGGGCAGGGATAATACAATGTGACAGTGCCACAGCCTGAGCTGCACTGGCATCGAAACGCTCGGATGGATGGATGAATAAACATCAGGGAATGTGACGACCAGGGAGGCTGGTGGTTCTCTGCTTTCCTCCAGCTCGCGGGGTTTGATTTTGCTCATAGAATCATGGAATGGTTTGGGTTGAAAGGGACCTTAAAGCTCATCCAGTTTCACCCCCTGCCATGGGCAGGGTCACCTTCCACTACACCAAGTTGCTCCAAGCCCCATCCAACCTGGCCTTGGACACTTCCAGGGATGGGGCAGCTACAGCTTCTCTAGGCAATCTGCACCAGGGCCACACAATCCTCATCCTAAAAAGTTTCTTTCTTCCTTCTTTGCTTCCCTCCTTCCTGCTCAGCAGCACACAAGCGTGTTTGGAGGCTGCCTCTCACCTGGCAGGGCGGGCACAGATGGGAGGGTCCGGCAGGGACAGGAGACAGACGGCCAGAGGCATCTTTCCTCTGGGCTCGTCTCGGTCTCCGAGGGCTCGGTGCCACTTGGATGTATGACAGCAGGTGGAAACCCAGCAGTCTCCCTGGAAATGGCTGGAGGGGACTTTGATCTAAGCAGCTCTGTCAACAGCATTAATACAATAAAAATAATCAAATTCACTCAGATGGAAATGAGAGATGGAGGAATCAGCAGACAGCAGTGCAAATCCCAGGGAAGAAAGAGGGCAGAGCAACAGCACATCCCCCCTGCAACACCAGGAGTTCAGAGGCTCTTCCAAGGAACCACAATCTTGAATTCATCAAAAAGTCACTGCTTTTCCCTTTTTTTCCTTTCCTTTTCTAGCTGGAGGCACAAAGGGGGTGGGTTTGCAGAGGGAGGGCTGCCCAACTTCCTGCACAGCACGCACACACCCAGAGGGAAAACAGGTCTGCAGTTGTTGCACTAAGCACCTGGTTTTCCCAAGATTTCCCTTGAAATGGAGTAGGGAGCTGCAGGAGCACATTGTGGGAGTGCTGGTGGCCAGACTCTGCATCGCTATTTTCTCCTCCTACCCTGGAGGGAGTGACCATCCTTAACATGAGGTTATTTTCCTGAGGAAGGCAGTTTAATGGGAGAAAAGGGGATTTTAATAAAGGAGCTGTCAGTCAGACAGGAAAATGACTGCTGCCATTAAGTGTTGGCTATTTTTTGTTTTGGATCCTCCACATTCTGGAAAAAAGTTAACTCCGATCACATATCCAAAGGAGGGAACGAGCTCCGATAACTCTTGGCTTTGTGTGTGTAACTGTGGGGATGGACACCCAGGTAGAGCCTCAAAATGATTATATTCAGCACACTGGGAACCCAAAGATAAGAAGGATGGGGAGCCACTGGAGCAGGTCCAGAGGAGGCCAAGGAGGTGTTCTGGGGGCTGGAGAACCTCTGCTGGGGAGACAGGCTAGGAGAGCTGGGTGTCCAGCCTGGAGAAGAGAAGGCTCCAGGGAGACCTTGGAGCCCCTTCCAGTGCCTAAAGGGGCTCCAAGAGAGCTAAGGAGGAACTTTGGACAAGGGCCTGGAGGGACAGGATAAGGGGGAATGGCTTCCCACTGCCAGAGGGCAAGGTTAGATAATTCCATAACACCATGAAACTCCAGCTGTGGGGCCTTGGCTATCACCTGCAATCACCCCATCATCTGCTTTAGGTGACCTGTAGGTCACTGGTGGACACACACTCCAGAGTCTGGCATGAGCAGAATGCTGGTATGGATTCAGAAATGGCATTGTTGGGGTTCTGGGAGCGCCATGTGCTGGTGTTCAGACTCACCTTTAAATCACCTCTATGACCTGGAAGTGGCAGATACAGCAGGTTACAGCCTGTAAGTGGCCAGGATTCACCTCTTTTGGATCCTGACAGTATGTCTTTGGCTCCAAAGTCACCCACCCCTGCTAAATAGGGGTATTTCACCCTCCAGATCCGGTTGCTATGATGGGACACAACCTCTTTTATTCCCTGAAGTGTTTTTTTTACCACCACAGGGACATTTGCCACCTCTGAGTGATCTCCAGAGGCTGCCAGTGCAGCAGGGGCAAGCAGGGAGAGTAAGGGGCAATAGGGTTCATTCACAGAACTGCTGGTTAAATGAGGCTTGAGAAAAAACCAGCCACATCGACCCAATATCCACGAGAGAGACGAAGCAAGCGGTGAGGAGGGGAATGAAAGGAAAGAAAGGCAGAGTGGGGGACGGGAAGGGGAGGGGAGTTCAAGCCTCCTGTCTGAGAGAGAGGGGACATCAGGGGGGTCACCTGGACAGGTGGGGCTTGGCCAAGCACCCCCTGATCCATCCTGAACCCCCCACTCCTGTCTCCACTCCCCTCCCTTATTTCCAGCTCTGAGCTTTGCTCAGTTAGTGAAAGGGTTAAGTTTAATTTATACTGATTTCTATTTAATATCATTCTCTCCCCGTAGGAGCCGGCAGCTGTGAGCTGATTGTAGTCCCTCATTATGCAGTCTGTATCACTAATGGCCTGTGACAAAGGCATGCCATCTTCCCGGCCTTACCCCCGAGAGCCAATTAAACACACATACTCCCTTCCTGTTTGCGGCGCATTACAATGAAATTAAACTGAATTTCAAAATCATTTTCTCCTAAAGACATCTCTTTGCAATAATTAATGCACGCTATTCCTTTGCAGCTGAAATATTCATCAGGAGTGTTGACTAAAAAAATTTTTAGAGCTGATTGCCCTGCACCCCGTGCGTCGGCTGATGGTGCTCCAGTCCCAGCCCGCAGTACCCGCCTGGCATGGGGACTCGTGGTGACACGGTTGGCAGAGTGATCTCTGCTCTGGGAGAACAATTATAATAAATTACAGCTTCTTCAAGAACCATCAATAAATAAGGTTGCACAGAAGGCATCAGAAATCCAGCTTGACTCCTGACACAATGGCACTGCTAACACACAGTAAAGGGGGGAATGAGGAGGTCAGAGCTGTGGGTATCATGGAATCAGAGAATCATAAAATCACTGAGGTTGAAAAAGACCTGCAAGACCATCGAGATCAACCTGTGATTAATCCCCTTGTCATCCAGCCCAAAGCACTGAGTGCCATGTCCACTCCTTCCTTGGATGCCTCCAGGGATGGGGACTCCATCACCTCCCTGGACAGCCCCTTCCAATGCCTGACAACCCTTTCCAGGAAGAAATTCCTCCTGATGTCCAACCTGAACCTCCCCTGGCACAACTTGAGGCCATTTACTCTTGTCCTGTCACTGGTTGACTGGGAGAAGACACTGACCTCCCACCTTGCTACCACCTCCTGTCAGGCAGTTGTTGTAGTTGGTAGTTAATGATTCTATGATCCTATGACACAGTCCCCATGTAAATAAGCTAAATCCCACCCATTTGCAAAGTTTAATACCCCAGAAAACATGAAGCAGTGGTATTTTATGCTTAGGAGCAAGGAACCCCAAACATCCCCCGTTACTTGGCTGACTCACTTTGGCCAACATATGCAAAGCCCATTCCTGAGCCCAGCATTTGGAAGTACATCCAGCCTGCACTCCAGGCTACCACCCCCAATTCCCAACCCCCCCAGAAGCTGGGGAACCCTGTGGGCCAAACCAGAGCTGCTGTACCCCTCTCCCCTCTGCCAGGTGCTGTGGGAAGCCACCCTGTACCTGTTCTGAACCAGCCATCAGGCGTGAAGGCATCTGCAGTTTCTTTGGGTCGGTTCCAGTACTCCCGGAAGACAGTGGGTCCTTTCACGAGCAGCTCCCCTTCTTGTCCCTCCAGACCTGGCGTGACCTAGGACAGGCACACAGTGAGTGCATCTCTCCATCACCTGTCCCCCAGCACCACATTTTGGGAAGCAGGGCGGTGACCGAAACACAGGACCCACACCATGTACTCTTCCAGCCTTTACCAACCTCCACCACACCCTGCTCACTTGCAGGACCTCTTTCCTCAGGTGGCTCAACCAGGTGCTTTTGATACTCCAAAGCACTGGAAAGAGACACCTGTGTCATATGAAAACAAGGACTGCTAACCTGGTACTGCAGTCCAGGTAGGGCAACGCCTTCCAGGTGCTGGGAGAGAGCTCTCACATGCAAATATAAAGGAAATAACCTTGGGAAACAGATAGTCCTTTCTGACCCCTTAAACACTTCCAGGGATAGGGCAGCCATAGCTTCTCTGGGCAACCTGTGCCAGGGCCTCACCACCTTCTCAGGGAAGAATTTCTTCCCAATTATCACATCTAACCCTGCCTTCTGGCAGTGGGAAGCCATTCCCCCTTGTCCTGTCACTTCAAGCCCTTGTCCGAAGCCCCTCTCCAGCTGTCTTGGAGTCCCTTTAGGCATTGGAAGGGGCTCTGGAGCCTTCTCTTCTCCAAGCTGAACAACCCCAGCTCTCGTGCTCCCATGACATGCTCTCATGCCTGTGCCACCCTGCTCCCTGCTCTGTTGACAGACAAAACCCTTCACTTTCCAAAACTGTCAATCTAACAGTTATTTTTTTCCTGAGGAGGTGGCAGGAAACACCATCTGATTTGTGCTTGGAGACACACAGCTCTTTTTAGGTTCACTGGAAGGCAACAGTTGTAGTGACAACGTGGTCCCCTGCAAACCTGCCCAGGCAGGTTTTCTATGGCAACAAAACAAATATCCTGCTGTTATGGAAACTGGGGAATTGCAGGAAGGTCACAGACTTGTCTGCCATGGCACCATGTCTCATCTCCTGCACATACATCACTTGGCAATTAGAAGGATGCAACAGGCCAAGGGAGCAGGAACTGGACAGGCACAAATGTCGGAGCACTTGTGGGACCGTGTTAAACTCAAACTTTTTGCAGGGAAGATCATGGAATCATGGAATGGTTTGGGTAGGAAATGACCTTAAAGCTCATCTTGTTCCACCCCCTGCCATAGGCAGGGACACCTTCCACTAAACCAGGTTGCTCCAAGCCCTGTCTAACCTGGCCTGGAACACTTCCAGGTATGGGGCAGCCACAGCTTCTCTGGGCAACCCGTGCCAGCACCTTACCACCCTCACAGGGAACGATTTCTTCCCAATATCCCAATGTAAACCCGCTCTCTGTCAGTTCAAAGCCATTACCACAGTGTGCAAAGCCACTCATGGGATGGAAGGCACTGAGGGATGGGCTTGCTCCATGTGTCTGTGGAGAACAGCTCAGTAACGGGAATTCTCTGCCACTTTCCGAGCCACTTTGCACTTGAGCTGCTGCAACACGGACAAGATACATCTGGGACCCCGAAAATCAGCAGTGCCAGAAACAGGGCCACGAGGGAAACAGTAATAGCAGCACTGGCGCATCAGGCAGTCCCAGGGCAGGGCAGGATCTGTGGCTCTCTGCCATGGAAACAAAGCCTCTCTAATGGGAAACGCTCAGAAAACTGCTTTTTAAGGCATAATATTAAAGTAATTTCTTCCTGATGTCCTGTCCTGGAGGATGGCGTGACATGAGGATCTCTGCACACATAACTTGGGCTCCCAGAGCCCTGGCTGGGCATCAACTCCCTGCCTGGAAGATGCTGCAGGAGAGAAAGGTTGTTAATTCCAATGAGGAACTGACAGCAAGGTGAGGGTGGTGCTGGGTGAGTTCTCCCCAGGGGTTCTGAAAAAGGGAGCCTGAAGTCCAGACTATCCATGAGCAGGACAGCACAGAAAAACCTGAAGTCAAAGAGAGCCCAGGAGAAAAATCTACACCTGCAGCAGCAAAAGGGACAAGGATGCACAGAGGGCACAAAAAGGGCACAAAGGGCTCAAGAAAGGGTACAAAGGGCATAACAGGCATGAAGCTTCCATGGGTAAGCATGGCAGGGCTGTGGTGGGTGATGCAGAGGGACCAGCAAGGCTGGTTTCAGGGCTGGTAGAGGCTGTGTGGAATTTTATGATGCAGCTCTGTCTTCTCACTCTTTTCCTGCTGGTCCAGCTGTGGCATCACAAAACAAGCACTTCTCTGAGCAGCATCCTAGTTTTTGGGCTGCTTCCAACTCTCCCAAAAGGGCTGGGGAGGGGGTGACAGAGGTAAGAACATGCAACTGTGTCCCTGATCTTCACCTACAGATCCTGACATGCTTTGGCTTCTTCTTGGCAGTGCTGAACACAAGAACAGGTGGAAATTTGGCTGCTACAAAGCCCTTCAGCCCCATCCTACCCAGGCACCACATGGTGCCGGATAACCAGATACCTGCACAGCTGAGCTGCCCAAGGGACCAATCCTGCCCCATGTTTACCTGCACTCTGTGATGTCTGCTATGAATCAAGCCTTGAACCAGCTCCAAATTTCTTGTCATATCAACTCAAATTTTGGCAGTGGCTCAACCCACATCTTATCTTGAGCAGAGCCCCTTGGCAGCAGGCACCTCCCTGTTGTGTAATTTAATGATGTTTTGGCTGGCTTGCAAACAGTAAAACAGAAAGGCCGTGACGTTATCTTAATAGGATTTTGCTTGCTGAACTCAGAATGTCACTGGCACCGCTCCCCAGCGTGGCAGAGGGGACGCGAACCAGCTCACAAACAGTGTAAATTAAAATTCAAGGTTCAAGGCATTTATCTCCTACAACCCCTCGTGTCTGATCCCTGCTAAAACCCCACTACCTGGCTCTGGGAGCGGGGTTGGAAACACATGGCTGGGGTGGTTGTTTCCTTTCTCCCTCAAATCTCGGCGGCTCCCGGTGTTGAGGCACCAGTTCAACGGCACAAGCAGCTGCTGGAAGCATCAGATTTCTGATGGCACAGATCTCCCCCTCTCCCAGTACCATATTTTAATGCATTCGAGCAACTTTAACACCCAGGCACAGTGTGGCCCTAGAGGTTGTTGTCTGAGAGCTTCCTGCTCTAAACCCAGCTGGAGAATAGAGCCAGCCCAGCCGGCACACAAGATAAGATTCCATTTTCCACGCATGAAAATAAAAGGTTGTAATAAATCCTTTGAAGGACTAAATCTGGGTGATTATAAAATGCATATTTTCCCTGTTCCCATTTTATCTCTTTATTAGGAGGGCGGTTTGTAAAGAGCTGGGAATCCCCGCTTGGCAAACGGCCCTGGGATTTGTTCAAAGTGCCCATTTGTTTTCTTGCGGTCTCTGCCCCACATTCCTCCGGGAACTGCGGGAGAGGAGCTTGTAATGGACTTTAATGGAATTAGGGGCTTTTATGGAGGGAGGCTCAGAGCAGCACGTCCTTCTCTGGGAAGCAGGGGAGGCACGGTAGATTCCTAAGCAGAAACATGTGGGAGACACAGTGAGAAAGCTGGAAGGTGAGGTTTGTTGGGAAGGTAGGAACGTGTTATTGGGCTGACAACTGGGAGGAAGACAGGTTTTTAGGAAAAAACCCAAATATCTTCAGGTTGCAAACAGCAGGTTTCAGGGGGCACATATAATTTCTACCAGATGCTTCCTTCCCCCTGCCTCTCCAAATAATCACATTATCATGGAATGGGCTGGGTTGGAAGGGACCTTAAAGCTATTCTAGATCCAACTCCCCTGCTATGGGCAGGGACACCTTCTACTACACCAGGTTGCTCCAAGCCCCATGCAACCCGGCCTTGGACACTTCCAGGGATGAGGCAGCCACAGCTTCTCTGGGCAACCTGTGCCAGGGCCTCGCCACCCTCACAGGGTACAATTTCTTCCCAATATCCCATTTAACCCTGCCCTCTGGCACTGGGAAGCCATTCCTCCTTGTCCTGTCACTCCAGGCCCTTGTCCAAAGTCCCTCTCCAGCTCTCTTGGAGCCCCTTTAGGCACTGGAAGGGGCTCTCAGGTCTTCCCAGAGCCTTCTCTTCTCCTGGTGAACATCCCCAGCAGAGCAGAGGGATTCCAGCCCTTGGAGCATCTCCATGGCCTCCTCTGGACTTGCTCCAGCAGCTCCATGTCCTTCTGATGTTGGGCCCCAGAGCTGGAGGCAGCACTGCAGGTGGGATTTCACCTGAGCAGGGCAGAGGGGCAGAGTCCCCCCCTCATCTGCTGCCCACGCTGTGGGATCAGCTGAGGGCAGGGAGGGGAGGTTGGTTTCTGGGTCCCACTACACACTGATGGCTCATGTTGAGCTTCTCTTCCACCAACACCCCCAAATCCTTCTCCCAGGGCTGCTCTCAATCCATTCCTTACCCAGCCTGTGTTTGTGCTTGGGTTTGCCCTGATCCACATGCAGGGCCCTGCACTTGGCCTTGCTGAACTTCTTTCCTGGGTGAGCACCACAGGCTGTGGTTCAGAGCATCATTTCTCAGAAGGGACCTTAAAAGGGACTTTGTGACTCCATGAAGGAAAAGCATTTAGACTTGGGAGGAAGGAAAAGTTTCTGCAGCCCTGCCTCCTCTGCCACAGCCTGAATGCACTGCTTGGCTTGGAATTGCTTGGCATTTTTCCCCATCTTGTAAATAAATGATTACTGTGATCAAAATAATTAAGCAACTGAGCCCTTAAGTGACTAATAAAGACAATAATTTATATGTGTGAGGTTTATGGAAATGATGGAGTCCTTTTAGCAGTTCTCCCAGAGAAGTAACTATTTTCTGTGTTTGCTGGGGTTTTTTTAATGTACTAGAGCACAGAAAATGATATAACAAAGTCTGAAGGACTGACCCAGCTCCCTTCTGTACTCCAGGGTTGGGCTGCAGAGCACGGATGCTCTACCATGCTCCCAACACACCACTGCTGGAGCTTACTTGCCACCAACACCTCCAGACATACCCCTGCCTCTCAAGAGACCTCTCACTCACCCCTTCAAAGCTTTGGTGGCCCAGAGCCTTGTCCACCCTCTTGTCAGGGAGTTGGAGAGA